CATTTCAAAGTCATGCACTATTTGGGACATGCTGTACAATGGCTCCAGCTCACAGCACATGGGACACCCCTGGCTGTAGGACTTTTGGTAAGACCAGTGCTGCTAACACCTCAGAAAAATCAGTGAACATGAGACATCATCATCCTCTTTCTCCCATTTTTTACCCATATTTTCAGCAGTGTCATCACCCAGTGACATTGGCAGTGACTGCTCCTCTCCACTGCCTGCTCTGCCCACTCCTGAAGTTTAAAGCAATGTTAAACTTCCAACTCTGACACTCTGACTTGTGCTCTGCTAAGCCCTGCTCCTGAAAGTTGGCACATACTCTGCTGCTTTAGTTGTCCTTGTCCATACTGAAAAAGAGATTTAGATCAGCCCCTGGAGACATGCTTCCTCAGGGCAGCAGAGCTTGAGCTGCTAATACTGCAGGTGCCTTCTGGCTCTTCAGTACCACAATTCCCCACATTCACAGTAGTCCATCCTCAAAGCTGGGCTTGGAAATCAAATTTCCCACCTGGCAATAGCTAATTTTGCTTTAAATTGCTTTAAAACTTCAAAAGAAGAGCACTTAAGAGAAGAATCTGGTTACACATTTTAAATTGTATTTCAAAACTGCAAGCGGCAAAGACAGGAAGACCACTCCGTGAATTTTCTTCTTTGTGGTGTAATTCTTTGCAAGAAACTGTACAGCTATCTCTTAGTCTTTCAATTGCTGTTATCCTTCCCTCAGAAATGGTTGTGAAAACATTCCGGATTTAGCAAACATTTCGGATCATGCTTTGCAGAATCTGAATCAACAGTTAGGTAATGATAAATAGACAGACAAAGTCCTATGGCCTAGTTCTCCTGTAATTTATGCTCATGTAATCCCGAAGGTACAGACATGAATTACTACATTTGATGAGCATCTCAGGAATGGCATAGGTTCTACAGAGGAGGCARTAGTTTCTATAATAKATGCTGATTAATAAACAAGGGAGAAATCACCATCTGCTTCTTTCTCTCTACATAAGAATTTTCTGGCTTTCCTTGTTGAAATGGGCATCAGAGTGACCCTGGGTGATGTATACTGCTTCTGAGTACATCAAACTCCAGGGAAGCACTACAGAGGTAAAAACAGGCAAGGTGTTCTGACCTGATTGCTCTGCGGTATCTAGGCTCTACATGGAGCTGCCTTTATGGGCTCAAAATAAAAGGGAGGAGGAAGACGTTGCAAAGACACCAACAGGGGGTTCCAGCAGCACGTTGCCAAAAGGAGGGGAAAACAAAATCTTCCCTTGGGCTGAGTATGGTTGCAGCAACTTTACTGCAATTGGTGGTAGGTTCCTATTGCTATTCCAACTCATGGAGCCCAATCAAGAGTTGAGAAAGTAAAACCCAGTTCCTTGTACTTTACTATTGCCCAGAAGAACATTTTCAGTAAACTTGAAATACTTTTTAAACTCTTCAGCCTTTAGGTGGAGGCCTAAAGAACATGTTCTGTTTTGCTGCTGTCTTATGCAGGCTGCATGCTGAATGGAAAACTGTATCCCTTGGGAGTTACTGAGAGGACAGAAGATTGCTCCAGGTGCAGTTGTGGCCGAGCTTCAATGGAATGTTGTTCCCTGTAAGTTTGAACTTCTGAGTTCCACCATTGCCTGTAGCAGGATGACCACAGCTTTCCATTGGCTGGGGATAAATGAATTTATAAGGGTAAAAGAGAGCCTCTTTTCACCAGTGTCACAGAGCTAGTGAAAGATCTGAACTAACATTTKCTTTCTCTTTTCCACTGACAGCTTTCATACTCTTGTTTCTTATGACAAAGAAAAATGTGAAATCATTGCTAACAAAAAGTGCTGTGACTATGAGGTGGTGGAAAAGAATGACCCCTCAAAGAAGTTTTTGTCTATTCTCATGTGGGCTAACACCTGCTCCAATCCTCCCGGCACTGTGGAATTCCTCTCCTTCCTACATATGCCATCAGAGAGAAGCACAATGACATGGGAAAATCTTGTAAAAGAGAGCACTTCAGTAAGTCACTTCTAATCTAATTGTTCTAATTCAGTTCRTAAGATGCATAATCAGATAGAATGTGTAATTTCTGTCAAATGGTTATATTCATGTTCTTAATATTARTTGTTAGGACTTTGTGTTTTAAGTGATTTACAGTTGCTTAGTTAACTTTTAAATTAAGTAGGATTTCATTCTACTAGCTTCCTTTTTTGAACCTGTATTTATTTATTTTGAAATTAGAGCCTTATTAGCTGAGAAGTCCAAACAGCTTCTGTAGCSTCTGGGTGCCAGTTTTCTTACAGATGAAGATGACTTTCTTAGTGTAAGAAGTTTTCTGATTTGCTGACAGYGCCAGTCAAAGTGTGAATGAGCAAAAAAATAAAACCAATGCAGGCTTTGAATCTCWTGAGAATATATTCTTTAAGGCTATGGGAGTGGGAAAAAACAGCATATTTGACTGTTGGGATTAACACATCCACCTATGGGTGGGGAAGCCCATCTTCCACTGCAAGGGCACCTCTGCCCCCACTTGTAGTTGAAGCATACTTTGAACAGCTCAGCACAAACAAGAGCTGGCACTGGAAAACAAATAAAATGAATTCTGATGGGTTTACAAGGCCAAAGAAATTTAGAGCCTTGTCCCAGAGGCTCCAGAGAAGAGACTGTGTTCACTGAGACCCAGAAWTTGCATACAGATGATTTTAAAAAGAGGTTTTCTTATTCTCAGTGTGCAATTGTACTGGTTTTTCTATTACCAGAGTAGCTGGCAATACTGAAACTGCTCTTCTTTTTTTTTCCCCTTGAAATAAAATTAATTTAGCAATGGAGCTCAGGAGTCTGAGCTATGTCCCTTGCTTAGCACTGATTCTCCATCCTGGGATCATGATCTGACAGGATTTTCCAGGCTAGCTGAGAAATTATCATGTGTGTTAAAAATGCATTTGCACCAAGATAAAAAATTGTTTTTCATCTCACTCACACTGTGTTGAATTCGAATTGAAATTTGACTCATGGATCGGGACATTGGTACATGTGGAAGAAGACGGGTGTGTTCAGATCAGAGATGAAATTACATTAGTCTCAACCTGGATCTCCCATCTTGAACTGTGTTCTCACTCAATTCAAATTTCTGCTCTGCCACATGTTACCTGGGACAAATCACTCGCAGTGCCTGGGCACCTTGCTATGAAGTTAMTGCAATTTTTTGATGCTGGGGGAGATCTGAGGGTATAGGCTTTGAGGTTTGTGGGTATATGAACCTCAGACTTGTCCCCACCAAGATAAAACTTCCTTCTACCACCTTTGCAATATGTTCTTGTGTAAACAGTGCTGTGTATCATGTGTATTTAGTGCTKTTTGCCTGTGCCTTTCCTTAACACAGTTGTCCTTTCTCACACACAAAAGTGACAGATGCTAATAAAGTAAAGCCAAAGTACATTATACATGGCATTGTCAGTTTAATGTCAAGARGATTTTATTTGTGAAATTGTGTTTACTTATGACCTGTGAGCGAATATGTCTCATGCTTTCTCTTGGTTTTCCCCTCTCAATAGTGGTGATAATCAACCTGCTGTTTAATTGGCGGGATACACAAACTGCTGTAAGGGGTTTGCACTTACTCTCCCATGCAGAAAGCTGATCCCCCTCGAGAATGGGAGAGTAGTACTGAAATGCTGGCCTAAGAAACAAGGTTCTTGGACTRCTTTCATTTTAGTGCATCTCTTCTAGCTTTCAGCTGTCCATAGATACTAGCTGGTTTATTAGGCTGTTTTAATTACATTACTGATCTGAAATCATGCTGTATTTCAGAGTATTGGTTGCCTTGCACTGAAACATGCAGAAAAAAAAACAAAAACAGGTTGATCACCTTGCATTACTCTGATTATCTCTGCAGTTACCAGTGTGATATAACCAGAAACTCTAAATGAAGAATGACTAGAGTAAAATAGCAAAGCAACTCTTCAAGAAAGTYTCCAAGACTTTTCCCTGCCATAGGAAGAAAGAGGATACCCTATCCATCAGCATAAGTGGAAAGAAGGCACAGAAGTGCGCAATGATATTCTTAGAAAGTTTTTAGTAAGAAAAACTAAYTCACAACTCTGGAGTTGGGGTAGAAGATGTGGAGTAGCCAGCCCAGCTTGGAATCCAACTTCTATTCCCAAAACCACACCATAAGTCACCACAATTATGCAGTCAGAGTAATTCAGGTACTGCAAACTGTGCAGCTCTGGTAGTGAGGGATAGACTTCATCACCAAGATGGGCCACATAATTTGAAATATTTGAACCTATTAGGTGAAAGCTAAGCAAAAGGGGACCATACTGGACTGCTTTGTTATCAAATCACTGTCCTTGGAAAGTGTGTCTGCTCCTGACATATCCAGGCTCTGCAGAAAAGGAACAGTTTCTCACTGGCTGTAAAGACACAGAAAGAAAATACATGATGCCTATTTCTTCATAGAGGACCTGAGCATATGGATCTTCTACATGATGGAAAGCTGAACAAGGAAGAAAATGGTTATCTAGGACTGCTTTTTAAACCCTAGATTGTTCAAACTAAGCATGCAATTTTTGTGTGAATGACAACGACCATGTCTCTAATGGTCWTCTCAGGGCAAGTGGTAGATATTCCTTCTAGGATTGAAAAGCGCTTCCTGTTACTGCAGCCCAACTCTGCTGTGGCACAAAAGCCACACCTATTCCTTCAGTGCACAAACTTTTCTTCTTGTATGTAATTAGCACAAACTTTTCTTCTTGTATGTAATTATATTATCGTAATAATGTCCACACCATGAAGTCATTTTACAGAAACTTCATTGGTGCTAGATATGCATGGTCAGTTTGCTCAAGGGCTGTTATCACAAATACCCTCTCTATATAACTTCTCCCAGAAGCCTGTACAAAGCTCATCTATCTCCTTAGTGGAAGTCTCATAATTCTGCAAGAATGGTGAGTCCTTACATCTTGTACTGTAAAAGACCATGATATGTTGCTATAGATTTTAAAGGAGTTTCTGTTGGATTTGTCACAGTAGTTGGCAATCTTAGAAACTTAGAGAATGTATAAATTCTGTGTTATGAGAGCAAGAGTCAAAGAGAGGCAAAGGCAGGTAAGAACTTGGGATGAAAAGTCTGGATAATATCTGCACACTTAGTGAAACTCAAAAAAAAAAACTTATCTTGATTTTTACTCCTTTGCCACTCTCTTGCAGTTTGYGGGTTTTAATCTCTCTTCTGCCAGATAAAATGCTAGATATGCCTCCTCTCATCTCTCAGGGATGACTTCTTTTGATAAGTTACCAGTCCTAGTCTGTCCAAAGTGACACTTACATACAATATGTGTATGCGATTRTTTATTCCTGGTCTACCTTTCCTCTCTTACCAAAATCTTCAATTAATCACAGCTAATTCCATCCTAGAATTCTTACTTCCTTCATATCCCCAAAGGAAGCCCTTTAAACATTTCAAAATAATATTGAAGGATAAGCCACCAGCTGAGAAACTTCAGCTGAACTTTCAAACAAAAAGCACTGGCAAAGGTCACAGAATATGGAATTATCTAGGTTGTAAATGACACCTGCAAGGAAGGTACAGGACCACAACTTGAATATCTGACTTCAGCTAATGTTATTCAACTTGTTCCTCATCCTTCAATATTAAGATGAAATATTCTGTAGCTCTTCAGAGTTCAGCAAAGAAGATTTTGCAACTATAAGTGGGGGTAGTGGAAGAAACAGTTGGTGACTGACCCTATAGAGAAAAAAGGACAAGAAGAATTAATGGGGAGGAGAAGGGAATACAATACACTTTTTCACAAACAGTATCTGGGTCTAGCAGTCAATGCTTGATTTTAACAGCTTGGAAGGAGACATTATTTCCCCTCCCACATGATGCTCTGTCTCTGCTTCTTCAAAATGGTTCGGTATTCCTGATAAGTGTGGTAAAGTGTCTAAACTGCAAAAGACAATTGAATTTTTATTTGAAACTTAATATACTTTCCTGTCTCTAATGGTAGTGTTTATCATCAAGAAATCTTAATTTAAGTATTGACATGAACTCTGTTTTCYTGTTCAGAAGACCATCCTGGCCTGCCTTCTTGCTCTTGCCATTAGCGTGCCACTGTCTGATGCTTCCTGCCTCTCYATCCCGTTCAAGCCAGGCATGTCTAATGGTGTGGTTGTAGGTAAGAAATCAACTGCCCTCAACTTGACACACATCRTTAGAATCACTGCTTGATCTGTCCATTCTGTGCAATTTATCACAATTTGGAAATAAGTGGGAACAGTGGAGAG